CCTCCCTGCTCATTTTTTCCCCATTAATTCTCTTTTATTCCATTGATGCTGCGTAACTCTTATTGACGGACCTGCGCTCATATTAAGCTGCAGATCTTCCTCTCTCTACTGACTGAATCTAATAGCTATCAGTCAGTCTGGAAGAGCGAATGCAAACAGGAGGGGGCGGAGCCTCTCGTGTGCACAGCACTTAGTGGGCCGTCCCTGAGCTGCTTTCATCACACCCACTCCAGCCAATCCCAATACAGCCTTTTGCATTTCCATGGCAACAGAGCTTTATAGCCCCACAAGAGGTGGATACAGGCGAAACGGCAGAGGAAAAAGGTTGCAAGTGAGAAGGAGATAAAAAAAGAGACACATTTTTCTTTTCCTTCACGTTCCCCCCGATGATTTTAACTGGCAGTGTTTGACCAGACCAGAGGATAAAAAAGCACAGCAATGGTGGCAGGATGCTAGAATGCTTCTGTTTGGGAATGGGATTTGGACCGGCTGCTTTCTGTCCATTGATCGGATCAGTTGGATAGACAGCATCTAACAGGTATACCGTCTACGCTTGGACAGACGTGTTGAATCTCAGTGCCTGGTTCTCGACGCTGCTGATAAACAGGTGTTTCTTGAGAGGATGGAGAGTTCTGAGGGCTCAGTTCGTTTTCCTGTTTTTGATCCGAGTCTCTAAAGGAATGCTCTTCAATCCCACAGTATTTCCACATGCAAATTCATCTGTGATGTCTCTGCTGTGATTTTTGGCGTTCCTAAGACCTCACCTCGCAACTTAACTGATGCACGCCTTGGCGTATTAAGATGGAGGTTTGGGGGTGGGCGGGGGGAATCTTACATTCAATGATGTCAACATTATTAAGTGTGTGCGTGCATAACAAATATGTCTATATTTAGATAAAAACAGGTTTTCTATTAGGAGAGATCTACAGCCTGTTGATATGTGACATGCAATATTACCATGTGGACACTTGACACAAACAAGCGATTACCTTTTTCATTTCTCATCTAATGCTTATGATAAGTAATATGCCATTAAATGTTATTGCCCCCTTTTTAGTCACTCGCACACTACTCTGTATTTTGCACAGATGTGCTTAAAGATATCGGATCGTGGTGTCCGTTTGTTTGGACACATCGGTCCTGGGAAAGCGGTCTCGGTGGGGAACTGTCCTCTTATACAGTAGGCACTGTAGACACTTGCCATCGGGAGGAATTTTTAGAAACCCCTCAAACATAATTATGGACAATTGCATCTGTTGCGAAGTGCAGTGCATGGCTTTTTTGTTGTTGCAGATCGATGACAACATGTATTCGAATGTATTACAATATCATTTTTTACCAGCTGGTGAGAAATAGGAAGATAAGGCGCTGTAAATCCCTCTCCGTAGTCACATATGTCAGTGTTGCGCGACACAAATGAATCCCATAGGGCTTGACGTGTTTTAAAAAGCCGCTACTGGGGATCCGGGTGACGGCAGTGGTTTGGTATCCAGACTAACTGGTTTCAGTGGGCGTAAAGATGTCATCCGTAATGTTCTCTGAAGTATAGGTACATAGATGTGTTTAAAGAAGCAGGCTTTGTCAGTGTTGTATTGTGGCATCTGTCTCTGGCATGCAGCAGAACGGCCTCGGTTATCTTAGTCCATTTGGCTGATATTTCAGGTCTAGCCACAAGCCCATTGTAGCTGCAATGCTCAGGGCCCCTGACATAGTTCAGGACCAAAATGCACCAGTGCTGGCAGCTGTGACTCACCAGTGGTGACCATTACAGAGTTGTTCTTAGTCTGGAGAATCTCTTCCAGCTGTGACCTTTTATTGCCTGTGCTGTGGAAGAATGACCAACCAGATATTCGGATATTTATATATGTGAACAGAGAATAAATGCAATAATTCTTTGTTATACTTTTGTTTTTACTTTGGGTCTCCTTTCTAAAACACTGACTGAACTATTTTATTTGATATCCTTGATTTTAGATTCGGTGTCGTTCCAAATGAGCACCTGTTTTTTTTTTTTGGAGTACAAAAGGAGAATTTTTGCAGAATATCTCAGCTGCTCTTTTCCATTCACTGAATGCATAATCTAAAAATGCAATTTATTAGTTAGTGTCTCTGCTTCATACTTTAGTGGAAACCGCGTTACATTTTATTTTTCTTTAGGATTCTTTGAATTGACTGCTCAAAAGAACAGCTTTTATTTGAATATTATTATTCTTATTATATTATAAATGCCTTTACTGTCATTTTAATTCATTTAATCATTTAGTTCTTAAAAAGACCAGACTTTTGAACAGTAGTGTACTTCAATTTTAAATAATCTTTTTTAAAATTATTTAGTGTTTTTTTTTAAATGAAAAACAATTATCAGGATGAGTAAACAATGACTATATAAATGTCTTCTAACTTCCTTTAATAATACCTTAGCTTTAGGGTATGCTGGAATGAGGCAGTGGTGATAAACAGTAGTTTGCTCTCTAACCTTTCCTTTTATGAGCCTTTGATTATTGTTACTATATTTAGAGACGCGTCGAGGGTCCAGCCAATCTATTGTAATTGTGTTGAATGCTTCCTTTTCACCAGGGGCAAGACAGCGCAATCACAGCGCAATCCTTTTTACTGCAAGTGTGTGTGACGTAACCGAGCCGTGCAAGCTATTTATAGATCAAATAGCCCGATATTTTTCGTCATAGATGCCATTTTTAGCTCTGACAGCTGTTGCACCTAACATGGCCCCTCTTGGGAGCCCTGAGATGGTTTCTTAGTCGATGGTTGCTGATTGTTTATGAGTCTTATGGTGTTTGTGTTTACACCAGCTCACCTTTCTGCTCACACACACACACACAGCTGTCCGCTTTACCTCTCAGGGAAGAGTTGGGTAAGTTGGATAATCCGTCTTACACTAAGCGGCCTGTGTCATGTGACACACCCTGTGGAACTGCAGGAGAGTTACGGTGTCTGCCGGACCTCGGTGTCATCAGCAGGTGGATTTACGTTTCTTACGGCAGCCGAAGGTCAAAACGAGGCCCCTTGTGTTTTGTTTCTGGAAATCGCTCGCATGGATGTCATTCGCAGACAGTTGGATGCCATTGCAGCGCTTCTGCTGTACAGTAACACTGTATTTATTAATGGCGAGTTGTGTTTCAGACCACTATGTCTGAATACATAATGCCTGTGTGATTATACAGAACATCTGTTAGTTTTGGGTTTTGCGAGTGATTAAGAAGTAATATGGAATATGCTACTTTGTAAACAGAGAAATACAATTTTTAATATGCATTTTAATTTTAATGATGCTTTACCAATTTTTCTACATAATGTGTTCTATATCATTCGATCGAGAGAGAGATTGCACCAACAGAATTAACACTGTTACTCTGGTTCTTCAAAATGGAACAAAACACTATATTTTTAATTTAATATTTTTGTCTTGTTTTGCTGTAAATATATATCTCAACATAGTTCAAACTAGAGCCCGACCGATAAAGGCTTTTGAAGGCCGATACAGACTAAAATCCGATATTCCGATATATCGGCCGATATTTTTTTATTTATTTTTTTATTTCAGAAACGCGCAACAAAACATTAACAGATTTCCCTAACATTAGTTATTTGTAGTTATTTATGAGTTTTAACTAAAATAATAAATGCATTTAAAAAAAAAAACTTGTTTCTTTTATTCTCGCAACAGAACAGACTGATGATAGTGGCATTAGCTAGCTTTGTGGTTAGCTAGTCTATGATGAGTCATAATTTAGCAATGGATAACGTCAAACTGCAAATTGTATATACATTTTCAATATAAAAGGCCAAGGAGAGATGATTCGCCTCATTGCTATAACTGTCACACGCTATTAAAGAAATACTTAAGTCACAATGTCAAAAGTTAAAAGGACAGTCAGTCAACTACACTGTAACAACGTAACGTTACTATTACTAGCTGGTTCCACATCACTCTCGGTTTAACAGCAGCAAAACTGGACATGATAGTCACAAATTTTGTCATGCTTATTTGAGTTAAGAGAACTGATGGGGATGTTCTTTTAATTGTTATTCAAGCAATGTATGTATCGTGACCAACTCAACGAGTGTTGCCAACAGGGACTGTGTAGAGTGCCCTCTGGTGGACAAACTATACAACTCCAACAATAATGACATGGTAGAAGCGCGTTTCATCTGTTTTTATTTTATTTTTGAAATATTCATTTATCAGCCATTATAACTAGGGTTGGGTATTGTTTGAATTTGAACGATTCTGATTCCGATTCCTTGTTTCGATTCCGGTTCCTAACGATTCTCGATTCCGATTCTTTTAAGAGGCAGGGTCAAAAAAGTTTAGCTAACCTTGCTAACCAACGGCTTTTCTGAAGGAAATAATCCTTTCTGAAGGAAATACTCCTTCTGTAAAAATACTCCTTTTGTCACAAATTTTGCATTTTGCCGAGATTTCGTTATTTTTAGAAAAGTTAAGCCACACTTTGGATCGCCGACGTAAGATACTCATGTTCGACTCGTGTGGTTATGCCAACACTTCCGGTAGACGCTTCTTCGTTGGTATTGGTGTCAGCGGTTTCTTGTTCCGCTCGGCGGACTGTGAATATCGAAACTAGGAATCGAAATTTTAACTTTTGAACGATTCCGGGAAAAACGAAAAGTTAGTCTCGGTTCCAATCGATACTCGATTCTCGATACCCAGCCCTAATTATAACTGCCAATAACGATAGTTTGGAAAATGCCTAATATCGGCCGAAAATATCGGCCTGGCTCTAGTTCAAACAACATATATTTAAAAAGCAAACTTGCATAAGATATTAAGACTTGTTAGCTAAGTGTTAGCATTCATTAAGACTTAGTCTTGCTAAACTCGCGTGGTTTATGGTGAAGATTGATTATGTTTTGATATTTTCTCTGGAGAACCGTATTATGAAACATTTAAGTTGACAACGCAAACCCCTGTTCGTCCGTAGATGATTTTCAAGTCTGATTTGCCTGTGTTTTCTCCCCAGGTCTGAGAATGAGCTCGGCTCCTTCTCTCTGATGCATTTGAGCTAAGGGCCGTCCTGGTGGATTTGCCCCTGACCCAGCGGAGCGTTTCCAGCGCCAGCCCCGCTCCACGCCCATCATGCTGATCAAAGAGTACCGCATCCCCATGCCCATGAGCGTCGAGGAGTACCGCATCGCTCAACTCTACATGATTCAGGTTTGCTCATGGTTTTATCTTGCATTAAAGCAGTGGAAAATTCTGCTTCACAATGATGTTCATAATGACAACGTCTGACAAGCTCCAAAATGGATTAAAAAACTAGTTTGTACAACTTGTGTGCTACATTCCAAATTGTAATGCAATAACAAAATATGATGGATACATGCAAGTTATATGCAACATTTTAAATTATCTACCAAAAATATCCAACAGCAAGTATGGCAACTCGGATAAGGCTTGACTGTGAGACACACAAGAACCAACAACGTCTAATCTGTGCCGTATTTTGAGAGTACGGCTTAAATTGGTCTCTAGGGCTGGGTAAAAATAGCGATTTCTCAATTTTAGTCGATTCTCACTTTTATCAACCATTATCGATTCTCAGATCCCAAAAATAGATTTCTTTTGACTCTGTGCTGTTTTCGATTGATAAATGAACAGAACTTTGTATCGTGTCTCCCATGCAATAAATCCCAATTAGCTTTGATACTTTTAAAGTGGCACAATAGATCGCTGTTGCAACCTCAGAGCGCACATGAACGGATCATTACTTCCTCTTTACTACAAGTTACAGCATGAAATATTCATGAATGAACATCAAGATACAGTACAACTTACCAAAATCCGTGTCATGTCTCATGTCATCAGAAACAGCTTGTAAACAATGTCACGTAATATTACTTTTATCTCAGAAAAGTCATTCAGTGACCATAAACATGATTAGTTGGCCAGAAGAGGAGCATTTTGCTAAATATTTGCGTGTATATTGCATATTAATTGTCATTACTAAACCTGTTCTTCAACATTTAATGTATGTTTGAATAAATCCATAAAAATTTTGACAGCCACCATTTCAATTTATATTAGATTTCAAAAAACGAATTGGTTTCATTATGTCATTATAATTTTATTGTTAATAAAACTTACCAGCTGAAACTTGATATGGACTCTATGAATGGTTTATTACAACATTAGTTTTTGCCATGCATTTTATCTGATATATATCCAAAATATGAAATAGAATTGAAAGCTTGTGAATCAAAATGCAAAATGCACGCCTCGTACTTCTAAAATCATATCATATTGAATAGTGAAATATGTGTCAATATTCGATCCAAGTCTGTTCCTCAGAGGACTTACTCAGACTTATTTTTGGCCGTTCTGATTATTTTGGGCTTTTTTATTAGCTTATTTGAAGCTTGACAGACATGGTCACTGTGAAGCATCGTGTGGAAAAGAGCTGTGTTGAATCTTCTTTTGTGTTCGACGGAAAAAATAACAGCCTGTGGGTTTGGAACGACAAAAATGGCAGATTTTTTGGGTTTTCCTTTTAAGCACGTCACACACTTCTGTTGTTTCATTGAACTGCGTAACATACAAAAAGATGTGACTCACAGCTGGCTTACTTGGTGTTTCCTTTTTGAAACACGCTGTACTCTCTGGGTCAAATGCAATGAAACTAACACACATGTTTGAATCATTCAGATATGATGCACACATGCAATATTACAGAACAAATGTGGTGCTTCACGCCTCGTACCTCTAAGTCTATTTTGGAAGGCCACAACAGTATCACAGGCTCTATATATTTGACTAAATCTGGCCCGCGATCCCCTGAGAGAGGATGTCAGACAGGTTGTGGGTGCTGGCGAGGCAGGAAGCACCTTACGCACTGTGCTGATGCCGAAACCACCGTGGAAAAACGCTGATGCCAAGAATCAATACGCACCACTGCGATGTGCTAATGTAGATGTTGGGAGTGTTTCTAGAAGGGCTAATATTGTAACCTGTGGTCTGAACCATGGCATAGTTGCCTAGAATGCACTGGGCCAAGCAAAAAAAAACAACGATGGCGAACAAGTCGAAAGTAATGTTGAGTAAGTGTGCGTTTCAAACAAATATAGTTCAATGTAATAGGGCTGTATGACTAATCAAAGTAAAACTGTAGTTATTAATTTGTTGGTTTCAGCAAAAGAGAAGCTTTAAGGTCTCCCTCTCAAATAAAAGCTTGTAATATTTGAAAAAAAAAACATGAAGTGAACCGTAATTATTAGTATTGTATGTTTACAGTATGCTATATTATTTTTCTTAAATAGACATTTTTTATTTTACAATCAAATATTGCAATAGTAATATGGCTTTTGTTTAATATTTTAGTCATAATAACACTAAATAATGATTTTATTTTATAGTATTTCACAGTATTTTTAATTTATAGTCACATAGATCACTTGGATGCTAATAATATTTTATATAAACATCAATATGGTTTTCGGAAGCGACACTCTACTGAGCATGCCCTTATTCAACTTGTAAACTATATTTCTTCAGCTCTTGACAATAAAAAATATGCTCTTGGAGTCTTCCTGGACTTGAGTAAAGCATTTGATACGGTTAGTCATAATATCTTGATTGCTAAACTTAGTAGATATGGAGTGAAGGATGTTGCCTTGAGATGGTTTAGAAGCTACTTAGCTAATAGGGAGCAATATGTTAATCTGGAAGACTATGACTCTATGAAGTCTAAAATTAAGATTGGGGTCCCTCAAGGATCAATTCTAGGGCCTCTTTTATTTTTAATTTACATAAATGATATGCCTATAACTTGTACTAAACTTCTCCCAGTTCTATTCGCTGATGATACAAATCTTGTAGCTTCGCACCATGACTTCAATATACTAATAAAAATGGTTAACGAGGAACTATCATATATCATGGAATGGTTTCAATCGAACAAACTTACTCTCAATATAAAAAAATGCAACTTTATGATTTTTTGTAATACTCCCAAACATTACCCTATTGAATTATCTAAGATCTACATTAATAATACACAAATCGAATTGGTTCAGCATACCAGATTTTTAGGAGTCATTATTGATAGTGGTCTTAATTGGTCTAATCATATTAATTTTGTTTCTAAGAGGTCAGCTAAAATGTTGGGTATATTGAGGAGGGTTTGTCCTTTGGTTCATTCCTCAGCATTTTTAACCTTATATTATAGTTTTTTGTTTCCATTTATTAATTATTGCAACATTGTTTGGGCAGCTACATATCCTACCCACCTTAATAAATTATTAGTTATACAGAAAAAGTATCTTAGATTTATTTATTTCCCATTCAAACAGATATGCACCTTCGGTCCCTCTTTTTAATAAATTTAAAGTTCTCCCTATTGATAAGGTAAATATTTATCAAACATGCTTACTTATGCATAAGTTTATTTATAGGAAACAAGATCTACCAGACTCTTTCCAGAATTTGTTTATTCCTATCTCACATGTTCATTTCATTGCACACTAGACATAGCAATAATAACTTAGTCTTACCAATCGCACGTACCACAAGACACCAATTTAATATTTCTTTTAGAGGTCCTAAGCTTTGGAGTGAGTTAAGTCCATCGTTGCAATCAATGTCCTCTTATTCAGCTTTTACAAAGCATTTGAAGAGTTTACTATCGCTAGCTTGATGCCTTTTATGTTGTAGTTTTTATTTATTTTATTATTATTATATATATATATATAATATAATATATTATATTTTCCTCGCTTTTCTTTTCTAAGCACATTTGTTTGTATTGAATTGCTTTCTATCGTTTGTTGTTTATTTTTTGTTTTGTGTGTTCTGTTTTTTGTTGTTGTTCTTCTTTTTTTCTTCTGTGATGCTTAGTCTGCATATCTCGTGAGTTAATAGGAATAGGAGTGGAACTCTGTACAAGCCTAGTCTGGCTTCGTTCCCTCCTAGCATTGTTCTGTACTTGTACTAAACGTGCTAAACAAATAAACTAAACTAAACTATATAACCACAACATTTTTGGCTCTACAAACAAGCTCATCAAATCTGAAAAAGTGCAATTAGAGATTTCCCCCAAATTGTACAGTTCTACACTGCATTTAAAATAGGTGTTTTACCCAATGAATACATGTAAATGCTATGCAGTTTTTCTACCTGTCGTGGCAATAGTTAAAACATGAGTTAATTTGTGGTCTACAAAGTTGCTGATTTCCATAACGCGTTCATCAGAGCTGTGTCTAGTGAAACGTCTGTGGAGGTTTGGGTGAAATATAGCGAACTAGCACGTCTCCAGCATGCTCCGATTGTTCTTCAATCTCAAAGTGAGGTTACGGCCGCAGATCTAACTGAGCTTCCACCCACATGTTCTGCTTTCTCTGAATGGTCTTATAAGGTTAATTAGCAGTCTGTCAATGCAGCTGCCGCTCAGTGTTGTTGTCAGTAAGGAATTAAGCAAACGGCCCCTATAGACAGCCAAGACGTTACTATCCAATTGCAGCAGGCATGCTAAATTTAAACACTTGTGCTGTTAAGTCAGTGGACATCAGAATCGAGCCTAAGCGATGTTGACTCGCATAAGACTTGAAGTCCTTAGGGAACGAGTGTCTAATTAGCAGATTTCTAAAAGTGTGAGTCATCGAAAGTGTGAAGTAGCGCCCATATGACTGATGGTTGAATCGTTTAGGTTTGGCATAGAGATTCGAAGTTTTAAGCCAATTAGCACGTTAAATCTGCATCTAAAGAGAACATTTGTGTCCTTCCTCGTTGAAGTTAGTTTCACTTGTTTATTTGGATCGTTTTAGGCGTTCTTTCCTATCCAAGTCCTGCTTTTTATAAGCTCCATCTGTTGACATGCCGTCGCAGAGTTCCCCTAATGAGTGTGTGGTGGGCACACACACGGTTCGGCATGCTCGTACACTGTCAGAGTGACCCCGCTGGTGTAGTATTAAACCGGTGTGTTTGTGTGCCCATGCTTCCGATTACAGCGAGAAAGCCTCATGTTACACGGCAGAACTCTGGTCAGAAACCGTGAACAGATGTTCAACGCTGGTGGAAATATAAACAAAACTAGTTTGGTGAGGTGAGGTTCTTCACTTCATAAGCCAGTGTGTGTCATCTAGGGCTGGGTGATATGATATGATCACAATAAAAAATTTCATGTCAATATCGATTATTATCACAATAATCTCAAAGTTTTATTT